GCTTTGGAGTTGAAGCTTTTGTAGGTGAAGCTTTGGAGTTGAAGCTTTTGTTGGGTACCATGAATTGATTTTGCCTCACACTATCTTGATTAAAAGTGTGTGAAGCTTTTGAGAATTGTAGTTGCCCTCCATTTGTTGAAGCTTTTGTAGTAAAGATTTTGTAGGTGAAGCTTTGAGGTTGAAACTTTGTTGGGTACTATGAATTGATTTTGTTTCACACTATCTTGATAAAAAATGTGTGAAGTTTTTTAGAATTGTAGTTGCCCTCCATTTGTTGAAGCTGTTGTGGTGAAGTTTTGGTGTTGAAGCTTTATAGGTAAAGCTTTGAGGTTGAAGCTTTGTTGGGTACCATGAATTGATTTTGCTTCACACTATCTTGATCAAGAGTGTGTGAAACTTTTAAGAATTGTAGTTGCCCTCCATTTGTTGAAGTTGTTGAATTTCCCAATTTCCCAATTTGAAGCTTCAATTGTAGTTGCCCTCCAATTGTTGAAGTTATTGAAAATGTGGGAAAGACAACATATACAAATTTTGCTTCCACACTATTGAGCAAAAGATTGTGCTGTAAATCACACCTTATAGTAGTCGAAGGTTTGGATGAACCATATAAATTGAATTTGCTTCGAACAGTTGTGATCAAGAGTGTATGAAGCTTTCTACGAGTTGTAGTGTTTGTATTGTTGCAGAGGAAAAATCTCTGAAGCAGATGTAAGAGGGCTGAAGAGCTTAATCTTCGTATACCATGCACTGAAGCCGTTGTTGGCTTGTAATAAGACTTTGTTGGTGACTATAACTCTTGTTAGGCATAAGTGTTCCCCTAGTTGAGTTGTAAAGTTTAAGGGTTTTTTTATTATTTGTGAATGCTAAGAGTTCACATGTACAAGTTGTACCACTCGTCTTCTGGTTGGTGGAATGAATGGTGAGTTGCTTTCATCACTTGGTTGGTGGTATGAATGTGAGATCCTTCATCACCTTTCATCACATTTCATCACCTGGTTGGTGGCACGAAGATGAGTTCCTTCTTCACCTGGTTGGTGGCACGAAGATGAGTTCTTTCTTCACCTGGTTGGTGGCATGAGTGGCAAGTTCCCAAATGATATTAGAGTACGGGTTGTACATTTCATCACCTGGTTGGTGACATGAAGGAAAGTATGGGTTGTACATTTCATCACCTGATTAGTGGCATGAAGATAAGTTCATTCCTCACCTGGTTAGTGGCATGAGTGGCAAGCTGCCAAATGATATTAGAATACGAGTTGTACATTTCATCACCTGGTTGGTGGCATGAATGAGAGTACGGGTTGTACATTTCATCACCTGGTTGGTGGCATAAAGATGAGTTCATTCTTTACATTTCATCACTTGGTTGGTGAGAATAAGGGCAAGGTGTCGAGGCACATTGTAGCAAGTGTTGAATGACACAAAGTATGTTGAACCCTTTCGAAGCACAGTTGCCTTATGTGTGGATGTGTTGGAATGTATGATGTTTATGTATGAATGTGTTAGAATGTATGATGTTTATGTTGATTGACATGAGTGATGCTTATGAATGTTTTGTTATGCATGAAGGGATCCATGCTTTCGATATGTGAACCATGTTGGTTGTAACACTTAATATCATATACTTTATGTCAAAGTACGCATGTTGAAGCTCTGAATTGGGGTATAGGGGTAGGTCAGTGTAGACCAAGTGTTCCAGTGCTAGGAATGCAAAAGACTCAGAAGAAGTTGTCTGAATTTCTTCTTCTTTAAATATTTGTCGAATGACTTGTGTGACAAAAGATCTCAAGCGGTTGAGAGTCAAAACATTTGTAATATGTATGCCTTCTTATAATATCATTTCCTTTAGTACCTAGTCCTCCACTTTGAAAGAGTGAAGCTTGGCCTCATAGTCATAATAGTTGATAATACGTTCACCCTTGATTGTCTTGATACGAACTTTTATCCCGCTTGTTGTAATGGGCTTGCTGAGAGTAAAAATCATTCCTATTACCAAGAGTCAAATACATTTGGTGACTTAGCGAGTAGCTAAATGAGGCAGAAGATGATGCAGTGGGTGTCTGAATGGCCAATATCTCCTCACTTAGTAGAACTTGACTTCCACTTCCCACTTGTTGATAGGGGTTAACCATATGAGGGTTCCCTTAGTATGTCCTTACTTCGTCGAATGCGTGGTTATAAGCATGTGCCATCACCTCAGAGTAAGTCTTCCAAGTGTTGGCATTTATCATGTGCTTGAAGAAACAATCACGTAGGCCTGCCGTGAAGGCTTTGAGTGCGGTCTTGTCATTTGCCTCAGCGCAGCGAGAATACTCATGGCTGAATCGACCGGCATACTATCGTAGTGACTCGTATGGCTTCTGGTGAATAATGTACAAGTCATCTGCAGAATGTAAGTGATCGGTCTGGAAGATGTGTCTCGGGTGGAAAACGATAATACCAGTTTAGAGCTCCGCCAGAGAGGGTGGAAGGGAAGAGAAGACATCGGTTTTCGTCGGTGTGCATCTGATATGCCATGGTGGACTCAAAGAGGTTAAGGTGTTCAATCGGGTCCTCTATTCCAGTATAGAGTTGTAAACCAAGCTTTTGTTTTATCTTCGCTTAAAGGGGGTGTCGAGGATCCTCCTTGTGAGAGGGCCAGGCCTGGGTTGGTTCCAGTCAGGTATCTCGACCTGATGTTCGGCCTCAACTTGTTTACTTCCTCAAGGAGTTGTAGGATAAATGGGTCCTGAGTGAAGTCATGTACCACTGGAATTTTCTTCCGTAAGTCTCCATCGTCTCTCGGAAGTAGGAAAGTTTGAGCAAGAGAATGTGATTTTTCCTTGGACTCGCCGTACTGACTTCTAGGGCGAATCTGTCGGAATACCTCCAAGCCCCATGTACCTTCATATTCCTCTAGGACTTGTCGTTCCTTCCTTAGATGGGCAGCTGGCCTGGGTTGTGAGAGGGAACTGAGTTTTTCAGAAACCCTTGGATAATTGATCTTCGAGCTTATATGGAAGGGATTCTCTTGACGTTGCTTTAGAAAGTCTCGGCAGTTACGATAAAGGGCTTTCGATCCTTCCAACCCTTCTGCAAGGAGGATCTTCCTCAACTTTTCCTGCTTCGGGTCGAAGCAGTTGGGTTGAGAGAAGTCTCATGTTGATCAATGTTTTGATGATTAGCTCGCTTCTCATCAGGGATACCTATGTCGAAGGAAGGTGACCCTTCGTGTTAAGGGCACCCAAATGATGGTTGATGTCCACAGGGGCAACAAGCTTGCGTGTTTGAGTACGCCTAGTTTCGTGGAACGTTTCGAAGAGCTTTTCATATTGTTCTTGGAGGAACTCATTCTTTATTGCTATCTTGTTGTTTTAAGCCTTCAGCTTATCGACTTTAGCTTGAAGAACGAGCTTATTTCATTCCTTCTTTCGTTGCTTCGCACTAGGTGCAAGATGAGTATCATATTGTGTGCCGTGGCTTCCTCTGCTCCCCATGTTGGAGAGGGATGCCTGGTCAAAAGAGAGTGTACGAATGATGGAAACCAGCTTGACAAAGCTGAAGAGAGTAGGAATAACTGTCGTTCCCACAGATGGCGCCAAATGTTGATGCACAAAATCAGTGAGGACTTTGGTACAACAGAAAGTGTTAAGTTTGTGACATTCGCTAGATTTCTCCGGTCACTAATGTGGAGAAGTATGTAAATGGATAGAGACAGGAAAGCAAACAGAAGATGTACGTGGTTTACCCAGATTGGCTACGTCCATGGAGTAGAGGAGTTCTCATTAGGGTTTACACAAGTACATAGGTTTAAGCTCTCATTTTGTGAGTACTAGTGAATGATTTAGTACAAATGACATTAGGGATTATTGTGGGAGAATGATCTCCTTTTATATAAGAGAGTTTCTAGCTTTGTTCTGGCCTTGACATGTGTCATGCTGTGATTGGCCTTTGATGTTGACACGTGTCGCCCTGTGATTGGTCCCTTGGTGTTGAAACGTGTTGCTTTGTGATTGGCCTCCTGATTGGAGGGAAACTCTTCTGGGTCTTTGACGGTATAACGTTAACCGGTGCTTGGTAGTTTTGGGATTGATCAAGTATGGTACAAACAGTTTGTTATTCTCACCTGCATAATTTCTCATCCACCTGTAAATAAAAATATTAATGTCAATTCATGCTGTTGAGAGTATCCCCTTTTGTGGGTTACATCTATATATGTCCAAGTTTATATTGCATGGCCTTATTTTTTTACAGCGCCAAGGGAGATGCCAAAGTTGCCAACTTGTTTCGAAGAAACAGAAGAATGAAAGAGCTAAAAAAACAAATCCACAACTCCTGGGAAAACCAGAGGTGAATATTCGACGTCGTTGCAAACTTGCAATATTCAGTTTCTTTATTGTATTTTTGTACAATATCCAACATCATGTGCAATATCCGCTAACCCTATCTTGGCAATGTGTTCAATGAGTGTTTTCTGCACACCTGGGTTTGAAATTTCATCATGTTTGATATGGTGCTAGTATTTCTATTTATACAGGTACAGGTAATTAGTGCAGTATATATCTTCTCAGGGATAAATTTCTTATCAAATGTCTGAACTAGGGTTGTACAGAATCATGAGCTTGTAGACAGTTAATTTTCAGATTTATTTTCCTTGCAAGTTGAGTGTGTGATTTGAGTTGGCAGTGTGAATCCCACATCGGAGATTTAAAGAAATTTGCATGTGCTTATAAGGGGTGGGTTAGTTCTCCTATTGCCAATTAGTTTGACGATGAAACTTCTACTTCTCGTACATTATCTGATGTTATCCACATGCGCTCACATCACCACGTCACCCAATATGGTTGTGCACGTTTTAGGCTTAAATATGACAAAATATGATTCTTATACGTAACCTACAAAAAGGAAGATTTAAACATGAGAGCTCAAGTGCATAAGCGTATGCTCTTAAGTCACCAATTGAGCTACAAGGCACGTGCAACCTGCAACATCTAATTCACTTTTAAAATTGAAATGGTTGATGTGTGGGATTAAATTATTCTATCAACTTCAAAATTGCCCCCATTCCATGATGCCACTTGTTTTTCTTATAAATAACACAACACATGGAATGCATATTGAACATTGGTGAGAAGTAAGATTAAAATCATATCAAAGATCGATCCGCGCCAGCAAATACATGCGCTACGGCTACATGCATCAAGAAGTGAACAATTATAACTTGCGTGAACAGCCCGAAGAGAGCAAACGTTAGACAGAAGTTACTCTGCATGCGAGTATAGAATGCTGTTGCAGTTTGGAAAGCACCGAGGACTACCAAAGAACAGTACTATACACATCAGGCTACGTATTTATTCTTGGCACCTCTCTCCTGTCTCATCGCATCCTCCTGCAAAAAACCAGAGCATAAAGGGTGTTACTTATTTACGAGGCCCCCAACATGACACAAAACGGAATAGAATAACGAATAATATACGTAAGAAACAACATCCTTACATGAAATATGTATCCAATAGTTTCATTGTAATCCAGAAACCCCTTCCATTGTTTCCCAATGCTCAGCTGCAGCAAGAAAGTGGCTATGAGACATCATTGCAACTTTCTTTACCAGAATGCAACTCATAGCTATAAATACAATAAGTGCACGTAATTTGACTGTCATATTCTCAAAGAAAGGGCCTGTTTCCACGCTCGGTGTTTGGAGTAGGCTATAAGTCCGGCTCAACAAATTTAAGTTATGTACAAAATAGATTCCTATAAACCATTTGGCCCTAGCAGCCAAGTGGCCACCTTCTTGTTTTATAAAAGACCTTATATTTGACTAAAGAGGAAAGCAGTTGAATTGCCGAGGGTCTTGACAGATTTAGGGACAGGAAGAAACATAGATTGATCAACTTTACGAATAATTCTTTCTTTCTTCCTTGCAGCCGGGAGGACTAAAGCAACACGAACAAAAAAAATCCTATGCTATAAATAAACAGGAAATCTTTCCTTCTGCTAAAGCAACAAACCCATAAATGTGATGTGTGAAATTCTATCAAATGTAATGATACAAAAGTTTTATAATTTTCAACTTTTATGTATGTAATGTGCCTTCGTGCAATACACAACATATAGGGAGTCAATCAGCAATTACCTGAGCAGCTTCATTTGCTGCATTCTTGGTCCAAAGAGATATTTTTTCTTGCCTAGGTCTGACATTGACAACTGCTCCACAGATTTCATCGCCATGATCAAACTGTTCTCCAATTATTGCTAGCAACTGATACCAGAAAATACAACAATTAGAGGCCCACACACACGCACGCACGCATGCACACAAATATACACATATCAATTCACCCTCAAATACCACTTTCAGTTTAGACCATACCGTATACAACCAAGAGGTATCAGATTTCCCTTTAGGATAAGTGACAGTCCACTTTCCTCCATTAGCACAAACAGGATCCTCCCACTTTGGCTCAATTTTGTATTTGAAACAATGGAAATCCGTCCCCACATTCAACTTGCTCGGATGATGTATATTGTTGTAAATGCTGAATGCAAAACAAATATTATGAGCAAATTTGAGTCCCTATAAAGAAAGAGGAACAGAGGCAGACATGCAAGTAATTCTCATTCCATACAGTTTTTTTACAAAATATTTTGGATTTAGATGTCCTTATGAAAAAGGAACCAAAGAGTTTGCTATACAAGCGGTTTATTACCTCAAATCCCACAACAGAAATACTACCGTGCTGGCTTAAATAACATTACTTGGATTGCAAACATCTACACTGATACATTTCGAATCACCCCAAAGATCTACGTAAACCGCTTCTAGCAATTATTTCAACGCTGTGTGAAATCAACACGTGGATGTAGAAATAGACACATTCAATTCCCAAATCAACTAGGAGTGAACCTGATGAAATATGACTCTATATATCCAGATCAGGAGTAATCGGGGAACCTCTAAAGTCCCAGTATAACAGGAAATCAAGAGACAAATGCAACGCCAGATTCAACACAAGATTTCTAGGCTAACTACTTTACAATCTCACTAATTCTGGCAGCATTCATCGTTGCTAAATCAATCAAGGAGGCTACAGAAGAGACACAAGCAACCAAAATCGACACAAACAACCCAAAACATTTATCTCAAACAGAACCGAGTAACAAATTTACAGAAAACATAGGAAAAGAAACGAAAACATTGGGGGCACTAAGAAAATGTAGGAAAACAAAAGAAACCAAAATCTCAAACTTTAACGGTGGGGAAGCAAATTATCACTCTGAATCACAGAGCAGTCCCGTTAGTTCCATAGTTTCCAATTTCTAGGTTTACAATCGATACGAAACCAAATCCATTTCCTTTACAAAAAATCGCCAAATTTGTTTTATCACAAACTAAAGCAAGCACATAACAAACGCAAAAGATTCAATCTTCTATCAGTTTTCCTACCAACCAAACAAAATTGAACCCAAAAACAGAGGAAATGAAAGAAATTAACCTCCAGAACTCCTCGACGGTAGAGAAGGTGTAGATCGGGCGGATGGAGCTGCCCCAATCCTCCTGCTTGGACTTGGCGGACTTGGCGGCGGGGCTATCGAACCAGAAGGTCCAGGAGTGCTCCAGAGGGAGTGACTGCGGCGCTATTCCTTTCGACGGCTTCGAAGACGCCGAATCTTGGTCGCCGACGATCTCTCCTTCTTCGGGCTCGTCGTCGTCCTCCCTCGGTGTAGGGTTCGCCTCGGTCTTGGCCTGATCTTCGGAAGCTGAAGTCTTGGGTGCGTCTTCGACCACCATTGTTAGGGTTTGCTGAGGAGTTTATTGATCTCCCTCTTTTCTTTCTCTCTCGGCGTTTCTTGTGCGAAATGTGAAACACTTGCGTTTCGATAACATTCGGGAAAATTCTCTGATCCTTTTTATATGTTTCGCCGCGGGACTCTAGGACCATCTCCAATCCATCCAATAAAGGATTACAGAACTAAAAATAATAGTTCAGAATGATACGAAAATCGCCTTCAATCGAAGGCTAGGTTAAAGGGTTTGTGAATTTCATCGGACCCAAACCCCCCACATCAGGCCAGCAGGTTGGCCATTTCTAGCTAGCCAGCCAGGCCATCAGCTCAGCCCATTTGAATGTCAACTCCTATCTGGCGTCAGCATAACGCCAGCTCGCTAACGTCATGCTGCCATTAGGTTACTATTAGAATTTGATTTTTTTATTGGACAAATTTTAAAAACAAAAAAATTATAATTTTTTTTCCTATAAATACCTACACCATTCCTACAACATTGAAAGCTGAAGATAAGAAGTACCGCGTAGATAAGAATCTTATCTAAAATTGTGCACAACCAATTACATCTTGCCACGTGACACTCGAAATCATATCTGAAAAATTATTAAGAATAAACAAAGATAAGAAATCTGGAGAGTTACTCACTTTAGCGACATGTGTCGCTTGAAAATAATATCCACAAAATTATTGAGATTACATAAAGATAAGAAAAGAGAGTTACTCACGTTAGCAACACGTTTCACTCAAAATCATATTCAAAAAATTATAGAGATTATATAAAGATAAGAAATCCGAAAGCTTATTCATTTGGCGACAAATAGTACTCAAAACATGTACAAAAACCTTATTTTAATACGGTAGTTTAATTTAATTAACCATATTAATTTAATTAAAATAATAAATTTTATTTGGCTTATGGCCCTTTGGCCCCCTCGGTTGGAGATGATATAAAATATGACATAGCACTGTTTATTAAAATATAATTTATTGCAAGACTATAGGGCTAAAATGGGCCATTTGGCCATTCTTCGGTTGGAGATGACCTAAGGGGTGTATTCAATTAGGATTTTGAGGGATTTTAATTCTCTTAATGAATATAAGGATATTCAATTAGGATTTTAAGTGATTCTCTAAAATTTAATGTATATTCAATCAAGATTTTTAAATAGTTTATTAAAATCTTTAAAAAATCTGGGTTTATTCTATTAAAATTTTAAAGAAGTTTATAACATTTCAGGTGTATTCAATTAGAATTTGATTTTAAAGAATTTGAAAAAGTTGAGGAATTTGAGAGAATTTGAGAGATTTTGTAGTGTAATTTAAGCATCCACAAATCTCACATCTTCCCATGAGATTTCGAGGGAATTAAATCAAAATTTTACATATAATCTCTACAAATCAATTAGATTCCATAAAAATCCATGGATTTATAAATCCATTGAAATCTCTCAAATTTCCAATTGAATACAACCAATGTGTATTCAATTAAGATTTTAAGATAGTTTATTAAAATTCTTAGAAATCTAGGTGTATTCAATTAAGATTTTATAGAAGTTTATAACATTTCTATGTGTATTTAATTAGAATTTTATTTAAAAAAAATTGAAAATGTTGAGGAATTAGAGAGATTTCAGTGTATTTTAAGCATCCACAAGTCTTACATCTCCGATAAGATTTCGGGAGAATTGAATCAAAATTTTACATGACATCTCTACAAATCAATTAAACTCTATAAAAATCCACGAATTTATAAATTCATTTAAATATTTTAAATTCTCAATTGAATACACCCCTCTAAGTTTTAGCACTTAACACGTGTTGGATAATCAGGCAATCTACAAGGCTCAGATTGTGGAAATGGTGGTGGGATGGCCCATAAATGCTCACAATAGTCATTGAAACTGGTATAATCCTCATTTTGGTTTCTGACATTGAAAATCGATGAAAATGATTTCTAGGTTTGTCTATCGTTAATCACTTTGGTCTTTCCACGAAAATTCTTTACCAAATGCAAAAGTAAGTGAAAGAGTTGATTGGACAAAAATAATCACAATTTAACAGATTTTTCACGAATGACCAAAATAATTTACGGTGAACAAACTCAGAACAATTTTTATCGATTTTCAATGCCAGAACCAAAGTGAAATATTATGTCAACTCAGAGACTATTTTAACTAAAAAACCTTGATTATTTTTAGCTTCTAAATTTAAAAATTAAAAATAATCGCATGTATATAAAATATAGGACAAGAATCACTTATTTTCGTATCTCAACAGGGTTGAGTCAAAAGAGAAATTCTTCTCAGTCTGGACTACCGAACCACTAAGCCCATCGAACCACATATTATATAGCATTATACAACTCTGCCCAAGAACATTCCATGAGAGAGAGAGAGAGAGAGAGAGAGAGAGAGAGAGAGAGAACAATATCATTTTCGTTCTTTAAGATAGAGAACTAATATATATATATATATATATATATATATATTATATACGTGTATTCAGTCAACATGTCCACTACTGGAAGACTATTTACATCGGTCTCTCTTTCCCTCTCAGCAGACTAATATGAAACATCTCGAGTGAGAAAAATAGAGCGCACACAAATAATAGCAGACCGACGGAAACCACCGCGGATCAAACGATCTCTCCTTCCTCCCCATCCCCGTACAGCGTTGATTCATCGTTGTCGTCGTCGTCGTCTCCTGAATATTCGGGCTTTAGAAATAAACCTAGCTGCTCCAAAGGTGATTGGGGATGTGACCCCCCGAAAGCCCCAGACCCACGATTAAAGTTGAGAATAGGAGCGGATACGGAGAACCCAGCAAACCTTCCAAGTTCCTCTAGGATCTTCAAGCTTGTCTCGATCTCAACTGTTTGCCTCATCTGGATAAGGGATTATATTAAAGTCAGACCACAAAGGCGAAAAACGAGACAACATTCATGCAAGAACCCGTAAAAACTTTAAACCAAAGGTAAACCTTCTCAAGTGCAATTCGAGCTTCTTCTCTTTTTCTTTCCCGTTGCTGCTTCAACTCATTCTCAGCCCTCATTCGTGTGGCAGCTTCAGCAGCTCTTATTTCTGCTTCGATCCTTGCTTTCTCTGTAATTAAGGTAAGCTTAAGACCATCAATTATAGGCAGGTGGCAACAGGATTAACAAGGAGATCTTTGTCTGTGACTGATGCACTGTAGTATCTTATGGAATTAACAATAACACTAATTGAGATATTAAATGTTTTCCACAGACAGGCTTAGGAGTAGGTGAAAGAAAGCAATCAATGCAAAAGGCTAAAGTCAGGGGGGTTGTAAACAAACATATCGAAAGCGAGCACTTTCTCGTTGCAAGTCACAAGAAAGGAAAAAATACCATCAGGCTAACATAACATGGTATAACCATTGGCTGCAGTTGCATAAAATAAAGAATCTCCCAACCCAAAATGATGAAATAAACCATAGGAAGAAACAAAAGTAGCATCGCTAGAAAATCAAAACTAGATTATTTTCGGCAAAAAACAAGTTATTTACCTTCACGCTGCTTCCTCTCCAGTCTAGCCCTTTCTTGCTGCATCTTAAGCGGATCACTTCTATCACCCTGGATATAAGGAGGAAACGCTGGATAAGCAAACCCAAATGCTAAAAGCTATCAAATAATCATGTGAAAATGTTCTAACACAGTATCCAACATGCTTTACATGATCTTGCTAAAAGTAAAAACTGAAGCTTACATGATCTAGAAGTTTCTGCTGTTGAGCTTTCCAAATAGTGTCTGCAAAGCGACTCTTTAGCATTGCAGCACGAAGAGCCCTTTTTGGGGACAGTTCAACATCAAAAAGAGAAGTGCTCCATCCTGAAAGAAATGAGTACGACCACCCAATTAGTAAGTCCAAATATGGCAAGCTAAATAACCAGCGGTCATACTTAAGTTTGGCATTGCTAGTGAAGATACTGACCTTCTCCAGAAGCAGCATCCACTACTGGAGTTGTAAGCCTAGAACTGGAACATATGTTTTCACCATCCAAAGCACTTACAGCCCCTTCATATAATTTGCAACATCATAACATCATTCTGGATCAGATCACTAAAAATAACTAAGTGGCTAAATATCTTAATATGCTGCGTCATCTCACCATCAGATTCTGGATCTGATTTGATCGTCTGGGATGTTGACAAGCTTTTTGTTTGACAATCCTATAATGGAATAAAAGCTCCAATTAGCGCTAAGAAACATAAAAGTCCTCATGAGAAATGTCAACAGCAACAGAAGCATCATCATACATACCAGTCTGGGTACAGTAGAATTAGACAAACCATGCTCTCTGCCCATTGACCTTTCAGAAGATTTGTCTGAACCAGAAGAGAGAGAAATAAATCCATTGTTCAACCATATACTATATAACAAGAAAGTTGCAGCAAATGAAAAAATAATCTAACCATTAAAGGACTTATGGGTCGAGTCACTAGGACGCCTGCATTGACATGCAACGTTGCCACATGAGCCACATTTTAAGCAAACCAGGCTTGATGGCTGCTTTGCATTAATAGAGCCTGAAGCTTGTTTACAGGCACTATCGGTGCTTCTATTTAAGTTCTTTGATGACAATTTGGGATTAGAATTCTGAGCTGTTTTAGAAAGCTCTGCCTATCAACAAAATATACATACATTACTCAGGTAGAAAAGGAAAATGCTCTTCAACAGCGTCAGCTTTTTAAATAATAGAACAAACGAGTATACAGCATTCAAGCCACCATCTATTAGCTGACAGGCTTAAAATTCCAAATTTTATTTGTTTTTGAAGCAATCCAGTACGCATTATTGTAAACATAAAAAATCACAATTTCATGGCTATCACTTACCTCAGCATCAGTTGCACCAACAGGGACTCTGACCTTCTCTTCACCTGAAATAGGCCTCTTGCTCACCGAACTATTTTGCAAGGGAGGAGAGTTGCATGGATTCTGTCTAGCACAAGTTACTTTCTTAATTTGCCCATTCGATGGATTCCCTGATTCAACCTTGGAGCTTCCATGACTCAACTTCTCATCTAAAAGACCCCATCTCATCTCAAAAAAACTATTCAGGTTTTCTGCCAGATGATGAAAAGGATTGCCAGGAGGATTATAGAGCATGGCATTAGAAAAAGTCAGCCTGACATCAGCTGCAAACTCTTCAGCGCTTAAGTACAAATCTTTCTGCAGCTTTGATTTTACCGTGCCCAAATCCATGGGATAAGAGATGATGCGAAAGTAATCTGGGATTCCCAGCTTCACAGGATCAACTGGTTCATTGAAAGGCCAGCTTTCCTTTTTACTCATCAGTGTTTTGAGGATCGTCAAACATTGCACCTTCACACTACGATCAATCTTCCTCTTCTTCTCTTTCTGACCCTCAAGATCGCCTGAGGATCCACGCTTCTTAGAACCTGGAAGTGAAGATTTCGCCATTGCGCTGACCTCCCTGATTGAGGCATGATGCCCATAGTCACACGAGTGACTCCTAGAGTAATTAGTATCAGCTTCAAATTTTTTTCCAGGATCAGCTTCAATTCTTTTGCAGGCAAATTTAATCTTCAGCTTGTTGCTCGACAGCATGGTTTTCGTGGCAATCATCGTAAGGAACTACGTGAACTCTCAAGAAAACCCAAACTTCAAGTTCTTAGACAAATTTGTATGGCCTCCTAATACGCAATAACGCTAAGAATACCAGTTCCCTCTCACAATAAAGGCATGAAAATCGCCGCTCTCTGCAGAAAATAAGCGACGAATATTTTAATAATGTACAACAAGTGCACTACTTAACAGTTAATAAGTATACAGTAAAAGTTTAAAGAAAACAGGAACACTTGGTATTTAGATAAACCCCTCCACCTTTTTCCATAAACTTTCAATTGAAGTCCTCAAACTTATGGAATTCACTAACTATAATCAAGGGTCGTACCCAAATTACTAAATAAAAGTAATTTACAGAACTTCTACACAAATTAACCAGGCATCAAACCCAATTCAAATCTGTTGACTTCCGAACTATCTGAGTACGAAAAATCACGCTGTTGACATAATAACGAAATTTGACCCCAAATACAACGTAATTACTAAAACCCCAAAAACATAAAACGCCAAAAAACCACATACAAAATCATCACACCGACGGAAAAATAAAAACCCAGAAACTAAAAGTAACAAGGAAGAAAATCCAGATCAAAACAACGACTAAAAACGCCAAAAAAACAAATTGGGAAATCAGAGGTCAAGGATCGAAGGAGAACTCACCTGAATCGAATCGAATCGAAACGAAAGTAGAGAGCAAAACAACCGGGAGATCGTGCGTCGCGGCGAGAGCGAGAGGGCCGAATAGCCCCCTCGCGGATATGGGGATAGGATGCAGGACTAGGGTTTTACAGTGAGAGGAGGCGTGGGAAGAAGAAGGGAGGGAGGGAGAGAGTGAGGGGTTAGGGCGATCTCCCAATACAGCGAGGATTTATATTTATATTTTTTAAATTTTAAATACTCGCCGACTTTGATTGGATGGGAATCATGGGATCTTTCTGCGCGATATTAATTAGATTTCGCCTTTCCCTTTTGTGAATTTACCGTTTTGCCCTTTGACTTCCCTTGTTTCTGTTGGAATCAAAGTTTCATTTCTTCTCTTGGATTGGGAATTTGCAATATAATTATATATGTTATTTGTTGTTCATATTTCCTTGTTAAATTTAGGGATCTGCTATTCACATACTCTATTTTACTTTTTACACACCCCTTGTTAATTTCTATCCGTTGATTTTCTTCAATTCATCCGATCCGACGGTCGAAAACTAGAAGGGTGTGTGAAAAGTAAAATAGAGTGTGAATATCACATCCCTAAATTTTATTAGCATTCAATTAAAAAAATTAAGAAAAAAACACTTATCACATATTGTATCATCTCTTTAACAGAGGTAAAACCGACCAACATATGTGGGTCGGGAGTATTTTTGTTCACCACCATAAATTATAGTGTATTGTCATCATACATCTAATCATTCGTCATGTGTCACGTCATTTAGGTTTTGTTAACTTTTTTTTTCAAAATTGAAAAAATAATATTTAGTGTGAAAGTTAATTTGAATTATGTGAACAGACACGTAAATGATTAGATGTATGATAAGCATACATCATAGTTTGTAATGAAGAGCAGAAATGCTCCAGACCATGTATATTAGCCTTAGTTTGGAAGTGAGGTGCTTAAAAAAAAAGCACCCATGAAAAAAAGCTGTGAGGATTTTAGGTGTTTGGTAAACTGAAAAAAAGGGCTTGTTTTGGAAGCTGCTGTGAGAATAAGCTGAAATCAAAGGAAAAAGCTGAAGCTGCTATTTGCAGCTTTGGAAAACTGGTTTTTTTTTAAAGCACATCGAGCTACAATGCTCCTTTAATGAAAAGACCTACTATCAGACTGCATTTTTTTCCAAAAGCACTTTTACAAAAAAGTTTACCAAACACTCTGCTGCTTTATTTCACAGCAGCTTATTCTCACAGCACAGCCGCTTATTCTCGCAGCAACTTTTTTTCAAAGCACATCAATACCAAACCAGCCCTTAGTCGGGAAAACAAGAAGGTAGCCGAACTCAAAAACCCTCCCTTTGCATTGGTTGCTTTTCTCGTTGATAAAAAACAAATAGTAAAGGTTAACAACTCTCAAGCTCAAGACCCCACTATCCCACCACATAAACCCTTCAAAACAAATATTGGCTTACATCACACTAGGGAGTACACTGTTGAGTTCCAATCAATTTACAACGACGCCAAATGTTTTTAAGTTTCTCTAAATGACGTCACATGATTGATTTGGAACACAACCATCCATGTAAGCCCGTAACATCAATAAAATCTCAAATTCCGAACCAGAAAACCTTCACTGTTAACAAATTAAATTAAAACGGAAGAGCAACTTCTACATGAATGCAAATTGAAACATAAACAGTAGGAATCAAGGCGAAGGCTGCATTGGTACTCTAATCTCAATCTCAACTGATAGTTAAAATTAGTGTCACAAACGCATCGACGTTTAACGTAAAACTAACAAAAACTTGAAACAATTCATCCATATTTGCTTTGAAGCTTCAACAACATTCGTAACATAACAGTACAGCCAAAACAATGCATTCAAAACAGCGATGTTCCCTTCCCCTTCTTGTCTCCACCGATTTCAAAGTGCTTGCACCTCTGCAGAAAAAACGCATCGAAGTTTAGCGTAACGCGTTAGATATTATCGATAATCTAAGGTAGACACCAAATGGAGCAAATTGCACCATATCACTAACCTTGATCGGGTGCTGGGATACATGCTTGCAACCCTGGCATTGGAGCCTCAGCACAATCTTCTTAGTAGTCTTTGCCTGTTTATCAACGTCAAAGTTAACGATGCAACAAATTTGAAATCAAACAACCACAAGGGATGAATTAGGCTGTTGTATACCTTCTTGTGGAAGACTGGTTTTGTCTGCCCACCATAACCAGACTGCTTGCGATCGTAACGACGCTTTCCCTGAGCAGCAAGACTATCCTTGCCCTTCTTGTATTGTGTGACCTTGTGCAAGGTGTGCTTCTTGCACTCCTTGCTCTTGCAGTAGGTCTTCTTTGTCTTGGGAACGTTCACCTGAAAAATTACAACATGGGTTAAAACGGATTATGAAATCTGATCAAAACCCAGATACAGTAAGTTTCAAACAAATCAAGCAGAAAAATATGTAATCTTTAAACTTCTAAAAGAAATCGAACAGAACATCAGAATAGAAAACGATTTAAAATCTGATTAAAACCCGGTTCTAGTGAGGTTTCAAACAAATCAAACAGCAAAGCAAAATTGAAAACGAATCAGCAATCAGATGAAAACCCAGGTGCAGTAACAAACAGGAGAAATGAATTACTAACCAAACGGATTAATGCAATCTGACATAGAAGTATGAAGCATAAGAACAAAATTGCAAAACAACAGCAAAGCCCTAAACTATCAACGAAATCAGATTAAACCCATAAACTTCAACCCAAATATAAATTGTTTAATCTTATATTTAAGCTGAAACATAACACGAAATTGCTACAGTCCCTTCGAACCAAATTCACGATTAAATTTATCAGTAATTATTGCATAAACAGATCCACAACAAAAACCAAGAGAACCAAGTTGCACGTAATACTGTGGAAGAGAAGAAGAAGAAGAAGAAGAGAGAGAGAGAGAGAGAGAGAGAGATACCATGGTGGATTTGCCGCGGCGTCGATACAGAAATGAGCAGCTGAAGCTTGTAACAAGAACCCTAGAGGGCATCGGAGCGGTATGCGTTGGGTTTTATACTTTGATGGGATGGGCTTTTGTTCGGCTACAAGTGTTCTTATTTTGGAAACGGGCTGGGCTGCCTTCAGTGTTTTATCAAAGTTGGGCTTTTGCAAAACCTGAACCCTAAACCTTTCTATTCCATAGGTTCGGATAAATTTTTAGTTATATTTGGAAATGTGTTATCCACATATCTCTTTTTACTTCTCACATATTTTTTTAATTTTTGACTGTCGGATCAGCTGAATCGAAGAAGATCAACAACAACAACAACAACAACAACAAAGCCTTTTCCCACTAAGTGGGGTCGGCTATATGAATCCTAGAACGCCATTGCGCTCGGTTTTGTGTCATGTCCTCCGTTAGATCCAAGTACTCTAAGTCTTTTCTTAGAGTCTCTTCCAAAGTTGTCCTAGGTCTTCCTCTACCCCTTCGGCCCTGAACCTCTGTCCCGTAGTCACATCTTCGAACCGGAGCGTCAGTCGGCCTTCTTTGCACATGTTCAAAATCACCGGAGCCGATTTTCTCTCATCTTTCCTACAATTTCGGCTACTCTTACTTTATCTCGGATATCCTCATTCCCAATCTTATCCTTTCTCGTGTGCCCACACATTCCACGAAGCATCCTCATCTCCGCTACACCCATTTTGTGTACGTGTTGATGCTTCACCACCCAACATTCTGTGCCATACAACATCGCTAGCCTTATTGCCATCCTATAAAATTTTCCCTTGAGCTTCAATGGCCTACGACGGTCACACAACACGCCGGATGCACTCTTTCCATCCAGCTCGTATTCTATGGTTGAGATCTCCATCTAATTCTCCGTTCTCTTGCAAGATAGATCCTAGGTAGCGAAAACGATCGCTTTTTGTGATCTTCGCTAGATTGCTCCGGTCATTAGTGTGGATAAGTATATAAATGGATAGAGATAGGAAAGCAAACACAAGATGTACGTGGTTCACCCAGATTGGCTACGTCCACGGAATAGAAGAGTTCTCATTAATTGTGAAGGGTTTACACAAGTACATAGGTTCAAGCTCTCATTTAGTGAGTACAAGTGAATGATTTAGTACAAATGACATTAGGAAATATTGTGGGAGAATGATCTCGTAATCACGAAACTTCTAAGTATCGGAGTGTGGTGTCGTCTTTGACTTGCCTTATCTGTCTCATAGGTAGATGTGGCATCTTCTCTGGAAGTACTCTTCCTCCATCCAGGGGTGGTATCTTTAACTGGTGGAGATGCACAAGGTAATGTATCAATTTCACTTGAAGCTTACTTGTAGTTTCAGGCTTGGTCAAGCGCGATACAAACCATGTAGTAGGAGTCCCCCAAGTCGCCGAGCTAGGGGGTCTGCTGAAAGAGGTGACAGACAAGGTAAGCAATCAGAGCTCCGACTGATTGTTCACCTTCTCCCCATCTTGCAGCAGCATGAAGGATAAAGAGAAGAAAAATGAGAAGAGATGATATGAGATACTTTTGCTTTTGAAGAAGTAACTTTCCACAGGCTTATTCTTGAACTGAGCTGGAGGGTTTTCTGGTTTCCTCCAGAGTATAAGGCCGACTGAAGAATTTGAGGGTCAAAACAAGTCCATCAAATCTAGAGTACGTTCCACCCTGCTGATATGGGATACTTTTGCTTTTGACAGAGTAATGAATGTATCGGCACGTGTGCTGTTACGCTTGTCTCCACATGCTTCCTTGTATCCTTCGCACTTGCCCTATCTGTTCCTCAAGCAGATGCGGAATCTTCCCTGGAAACATAAGATGTTGAAGATGAGTACTCGAGAGCAATGCCAGGTAAGTAATCAGGTAAGGGGTTCCAGGCAGTCAGTTCCTGGCTGGAAGCTTGATTCCAAGTGCTGACTGATTGCTCTCTTTCTCCTTGTCTTGCAGGTAAAAACAAGGCCAAAAGAAAAGACAGGGAAAAAGCATGATATGGGATACTCTTGCTTTTAACCCTGATGATATGAGATATTCTTGCTCTAGTATAGCTTGTTTGCAGAGGTATTATCGGGGGGAAAGAAAGCTGAATATTTCGAAAGGCTTCGTTGGGAGTGCCCTCTCAGATATGATGAAGGGTTGAGCATTTTTGCAGGTCTGCCTGTCCGTTGGGGATGGAGGTCGACATATATAGGAGTCTCCCTAACAACAAGTAGTAATGCTATTCC